CTTGCCAGGCAGGCGCTGTACTGCTGAGCTATGTCCCTCACCCTAGAATATCAAAAAAGGTGATACAGGAGGAAGGAAACAGAAGTAGACTGTACAGAATAAACTGAGGCCTTTTAAAAACCCGTGGTCTCATCAAAGGAAGTAAAGGAATTTCAACAAGAGAGTGTTAAAGATACAAAACACCTAGAAAGGACTGTGGGCTTAAAAAAGAAGTGAAGTAGGATTGGTGTATGTTGGCAAAGCAGTGTAGAGATGAACGGAGGAAGAGAATTTACAGTAGAGGAAGTTGGTGTGAAGTTTTCCTCTAAAGATGCCCAGTGGAATAAAGAAGGAAGCAAAGAGACTGGGAACAAGGCAGGGCTAGGCCTCAAACAGCACGGGAGAAGCAGCAGGGCCCAAGAAGGAATCTTTTCATTACCTGACCCAGATTTTCTTATTTGGAAACAAAAGCAACTGCAGAGTTTAAGGATCTTCAAAACATACTATAAGGGTTCTAATCTTTAAAACTGCCTTTGGCCCAAAACACAAATTACAAGGATCATGAAATCAGTGTTCATTTCTGAGATGACTATCAAGTACTATTTTAGAAATCAGACTAATAAGTTGCAGTGTTGTAGAAACACTATCATGAAATACACAGAAATAGCTTTCTCTCTTTACCAGTCATAGGGTAAATAAAGGAAGTGTACAGTTACATACCCTCCCACACAAGATAATAAGTAACCTGTCTTTGTACACTGGAACCCAGTGACCCCCTCTCAAGAAATTTTTTACACAGTTTAGAATACACAGAGCAGGTTAAAAGCTATGCAGGGAAAAGCTAAGGTTAAAAATAGATGAACACTGCCTAGCAAGCACAAGGTTCTGAGTTCGACTTCCAGTACCCCCTACGCCAAAACAGCCAGAAGTGGTAGTGCAAAAAAACAGCCAGAAGTGATGGTGCCAAAAAAAAAAAAAAGAAGAAGAAGAAGAAGAAGAAGAAGAAAAAGAAGTACTGGTGCAAGTCTGTAATTCCAGCACTTGGGAGGCTGTGAGGCAAGAGGATCACTGAGAGTTCAAGGACAGAGGGGCCTGGGCCACATAGTCATAGCAAGAGCCTATCTCAAAAAAAAATAAAAGAATGAACGCAAGACAGAAGATGCAGCAAAGGGAAAGCAGAAGGTACGCTACTGACAGGCAAGAACTGAGGCCTTGACAGTAGGGTCCAGTCAGTGAGGAAAAATTGGCACAAAAGTTACAAAATTTCAACACCACCTAACTAATCTCAAGAGCCTGCAAGGTTTTAAATCAAATATTAAATGAGATTTTTGATTTTCAAATTTTATTTCAACAGCTTTTAAAATTCAACAAAATTACTTAAATCATGACAGCCGGAACCATGCAATTTTAAGTGATCATAAAAATAGTCACATCAGTGTTTTTTTGGGCATGTGGGCAAAAGCTAGTGGACAGGAATGCTCGATTAATAATCCTGCTGCGATTCTGTTACTGGGGATTCAACTCAGGGGAATTCCACCACTGAGCTATAACCCCAGATCTCCCACGCCCACCCTTCCACAACCCCCGCTGTGCCCCTCATAAATTTTGAGACAGGGTCTCGATAAATCATTCCTTCTGCCGAGCTCCAACTGCACCCTCCTGCCTCTGCTTCCCAGGGTGCTGGGACTACCCGGTTTTTAAACCAGCTACTGCTACTCCCCGCTACCTGCAAGACCAAATGGGAATCCCTCATCTCCACCCTGAAAACTTTGATGGCCTAACCACAGCTCCACCCAAACAGCTCAACTCCCACTACTCCCTAAAACCGACCCTTGCTGTACCCATAGACCTCGGCGCAGACTTCGCGATGCGACCGCCCCATTGCCCATCCGATGGGAGCTTCTGTTCTCAAAGCCCAGCCTGGCCGGGGTCCTTGCACTCACTCCATCACTCCAGCCGAGAGCGCTGCGCTCTCCTCCCCGGGCCTCCCCATTTCCTGGGTCCCCTTTCTCTCTCTGCCCACCTTCCAGCGGCCTCCTCCTGCCCTCAGGGTCTCCCCCAGGCCTTCTCCCCATCGCCTGCTCAGGGTGCTTCGGGTCCACCAGGACAGAAGCCCCCCAGGGACCCCGCTCCCCTAATTCGTCCCCCTAGGACCCTCAAGGTCGGCGCTCTCGGCCTCCCAGTGAGGGCGGGCGGGGGTCGCGGTGACTCACCGGAGGGGGAGCGCGGCCGCCAGCCGGGGCACCGGAACTCGCTCACTTCCTCGCGGAGCACCTGCCCGCGCTGCTGGAGCGCAGCCCGGCCGGGCCTCCGGCGGATGCGCGGATGTTTTCCTTGTCGCGGGGTAGTGCGCGCCAACCGCTCCTCCCACCCTGCGGCCACCGGGAACCCCAAACGGCCGCTCCCCTGGGACCCTAGGCTGGGCCCTAACCACAGACACCCCCTACACACACTCCGCTAAGCACTTAAAGCCCCGAACCCCAAGACCCTCCAGCGAGGGGGAGGGATCCTTGCCTAGCCCAGCTTCCCCCTTTCTAGAAGCCCCCCACCGTCACCCCCACATGCCCACCTTATCACCGTTCCAGGACGGCAGCCCTCACTTCTGCCCTCACCTCAACACACCAATGCCCAGGGGCTCCCCATCACCTCCACTCTCTCCAGCTCCCCACTCAGCCCGCCCCAGGTCGCAGAAGGCAATCCATGGCCCAGTCTTCTGGGCATCAAGGGGTCACCACGCCATCAAGGGGTCACCACGCCGAACCCTGCCCAAAGGCAACAACGGAGCTACTGACCACGGACGTCTTCCCGTCCTCTGTGCTAGACAGGCCTTCTAATTCCCCTGCTCCAACCAAGTGAGCAGTCCAAGGTAACACCTACCACACACCAGCCTACCTAGGCGAGCAAACTGTTCCCCTTTCTTTCTTGGTACTCCAATGAAAGGGAAAGGCCATCTTCGAAGAGGACATCAAAAAGGTCTGAGGTATACTGACAGTCGACTCTGAAGGGAGAGGTGACAGGCGGCCCTCTGCACAAGTCTCCAGAAGTAGTGCCTCTGATGCACCAGCTGACAGGGAGGGTCTCGCAGTAAGTGAGTAGAAACTTAGCGAAAAAGAGAATGCCGAAGTGATTCTCCCAGTGCGTGGGAGGGAACACCTGCAACACAGCCCAGTGAAGCAGGGAACAGTGAAACATCCATCCTGATCAGGGCCTATAGCACCAAAAATATGGCCAACAGCAGCGGGGTCAAATGGGAGAACAGTGCCAGGCATGGCGGTGCATAGCTGTAATCCCAGTACTCTTGGAGGCTGAGGAAGGAGAACTGCAAATCTGAGCCCTGCGCAGATAACTTAGTGAGACTGTCTCAAAATAAAAAGGGTATAGATCAGTGTGAATGCCGCGTTCCATCCCCAGTACTATTAAAAAAGAGAGAGAGAATGAACTTGGGAATTCATGTGAGTGGGGGTGGGAAGAAATGGATCAGAATCCTAATGAGAAAAGGGGGCAATCCTAAAATTGGCTGGAAAGAGGATGAGAAGCCAGGCGTGGTGGTGCATGCCTATAATCCCAGAACTTAGGAGGCTGAGGCAGGAGGATCACAGCAAGTTCAAGGCCCGCCTAAAGTACACTGTGAGACCTTGTTTCAAAAATACAAAAACAGAAACAAAAAAAGATGAGAAAATCAATCAGGAACACCATTTCTCAAACTAAATTCTGAGTTCAAGAATGTAAGGACCAAACCTAAAATGCTCCTCAAGGTAGCTGTTTTTGGAGGAGGTGGTGGGGATCTCATGAGCATGAGTATGAAGGGACAGAAGTCAGCCAGGAGTGCCCACAAAAACCTCAACCGTGCATACAAAACTGCTTGAGATCTTTAAAAAAAAGAAAGCCGCCCACTGTCTCTGAGCCTCAGCAGCAATCACAGCAGCTAACACTTCCTGAGGGGTATGCGTGCACAGACGGTGCCTAGAGCACTCCACGCGTGGCCTCGTAAGGACTCTATGAGCCGTCATCTGCTCTTACCTACAAGTAAGAAAGCCGGCTGAGAGAGATGAGGTACCTTGCCCAAGGTCCCACAGCGGGTAAGTGGACTCAGAATTAAACCCCAATAGTGACTCTATAGCTGCTGCTCTCGACCACCACCCTAGGTACCCCAAAACCTCCAGGCAGGACAAATGCCTAAGTCCCATCATGAGGGAACTGACGGGAGCCCTCTGTGGGGCTCCGAGGAAACATTCCGCTTTGAAAGGGGCACAGAAGCATTCCAAGCCCAGGACAATCCTGTACCCATTTCATGTCTGAAAGTGATAAACAATGGACAGTTGGTTCCTGGGATGACTGAGGAAAACATAAACCCCTCCCCATCTGAGAGGCAGCCCTGTTTCTCAGATACAACAGGGAAAGCCTGCCCAGGGTCTGAAGGAAACACTGCATCCCAGGCGCAGCCTCTCTCTCCTGGAGCCTCTGGCTATGCACCCTGCTGCGGCTCCTGGGTTTGGCTGGGGCACAGAATTAGCCATCCCCAGGAAATGCCTCCCTCCGGTCCAGGCAGGGATCCCAACACACACCCCTTGTGGTAGCAGTGGGGGGAAGGAGGGTGGCGGAATGCTTCCTCTCTCCAGGTCAGGGAGGGGGTCTGGGGACCACCTGGGGCCTGCACCCCTCCCACCTCCTTGCTGGTGAAGTGCCCAGTCCAATGCCCCCTCCACGGCCACCGCCCTCCTTCCTTCAAGCTATTGCCGGGCATGAATCAGTTCTCACAGCTTGTTAAACCTGGACCGCTTGTTTTCATGCCCTCACCTCAGGAAACAGAGTTACAGCCTTTCCAGCTTGACTCAGCAGGGGGCCGGGGTCCTCACTTTATAAACATCCTCAGCCTGCACAGGAGGGCATGGAGATGGTGTGTGTGAGATGGTGTGAGACGGTGTGAGACGGTCCAGAGAAACTAAGACTCAAGCAGCAAAGCCAAGCAAGCCAAAGGGACAAGACCAGAGTAGCCTGAACAGAAGGCAAGAAGGGTGTGAGAGGGCTGTACCACAGGGATGGCCCTAAGGATGCTCTGGGCTGGACAGGCCAGGAGAACGCTAGGAGGCTGGGGGATCATCTGCTTGGTGGTGCCTCTGCTCCTGCAGTACCCAGGAGTCCACAGCAAGTGTTACTTCCAAGCTCAAGGTAAAGTGGAGTGAGGGGTTAGGAAACTATGTGAAGCCGGGGAGGTGGGGGCAGGGGTGGCAGCAAGGGCTTCGAGGTGGTCCTGCGTCACAATACCTAGGCTCCCTCCAACTGCGAAGCGGGAAAGGAAGACTAAATATGGGGGTGGTATGCACCAGTTCTCTCCCACCCCGGCCAGAAGAGACTCACCTGCCACCACCACTCCCACACCCACTCACGCTTCTCACCGTTCCCCAGCTCCCTGTCGTTATGAGGGGAAACATTTCACCCTGGGTGAGTCTTGGCTCCGCAAGGACTGTTTCCATTGCACCTGTCTGCATCCTGTCGGTGTGGGCTGCTGTGACACGTGAGTAACCAAGAACGGCCAGTGGGAAGGCCTCTGACGTGAGTTATGAGGGATGACCAGGGAGTGACTAAACTGCTGTGAGACAAGACTGAAGAGCAGTCCGGGACTAGCCAGACCTGTAGATAGCAACAAGAGTGAGAAAGATAAGCCTTCAAGCCGCAAAGTGAAGGAGCTTGAGGATCTTGAGGAAACTACTCTTGCTGCAGAAGTCTTTATACAGTAGGTAAGAGCTTAGGAGGACCAGGGGACACGAAAGGAGGATATGGGAAGACAGCTGTGAGAGGTGAATAGGGGTCCATAAAGGTGACCGTCCACTGTGCTGACTCTTTCTCATCCTTGGTTCCCCAGGTCTCAGCACCCCATTGACTTCCCTGCTGGGTGTGAGGTTCGTCAGGAGGCAGGAACCTGCCAGTTTTCCTTGGTGCAAAAATCTGACCCTCAGCTGCCCTGCAAAGGTGGAGGGCCCGACCTAGAGTGGGGCTCAGCTAACACCCATGTTCCTGGGGCTCCTGCTCCCCACTCCAGCTAGACTCACCTGATCACCCATCTGCTGACTGCTCACTGCTGCTGCCCCTTCCAGAGAAACCACTAGCAGCTGCCCATTTATTCCAAATAAATAAATTAATGCTACAGCTGAAAGCCTGCCTCTTGTTGTCTGCCATTGGGCCCCAGGTGGAAAAAGTGGGCCCTATCAGAGTCCAAGGGCAGAATTCTTAGTATCCTGAAGAAACCAGTGCCAGCATGGACAGGTAAGCCAGCTTCAGATGGTTATGGTGCTGGTGCTGGGGCCTGGGGCAGCATATGAAGCCAGAGTGGGGCTTGTCGGCAGCACCTTGATGGGGAGGTCCCAGCTGAAGGTATCTACAGGCACCTGCTCAGGACCTGTCCAGGTGGCAGGTTCAGGCTGTTCCACAGGGGGCAGCAATACCAATCCTGGTTCTCGGGATGTTACAAATTCAAAATGTAATCGCCACTTCAAAGACACTATGGAAGAAAAAGATAAGAGATTGAAGCATTAAAATACAGCAAGAATAAAAGCCAATGACAGGATGTAGTCAGTGAACGAGAAACATATTTAGAAAGAGCAGAGGCAGTCCCAGGGCAGGGAGCTATGATGAAGGTCTTTTTTTTAAAAAAGAAATCAAGCCAGACATGGTGGCACACGCCTGTAATCCCAGCACTTGGGAGGCTCAGGCAGGAAGACTGTTTTGAGATCGAGACCAGCCTGGGTTACACAGTGAGCTCAAGGCCAATCTGAACTGCATAGAGAGACCCTGTCTCAAAAAGACCAAAAAAAGAAAAAAAGAAAAGAAATCCTTTGTGTTAACCAGAATCAAGAATAGCAGTGTTAACTACCTATTAACCCAAGTGGGATAGTAAAAATTAGACAGCTTGAAGTAAATGTACTAAAGAATCAGATGTCAGTGCATCACAGTCCCAGTAAAGAAGAGTGGGGAAAGAGTTCTGCAAAGTTGGTAGGAGCTGGGGGGCGGAGTCAGGGCATCTAAGAAATGGGAGTAAAGGCTGAAGATCTGAGAAAGCGTTAAAGGTCAGAGGATGGATGTGGGCACATCTGGAAGTACAGCAGGAATCAGGACCCATTACTCTCTTCCTAAGCACAGCACTTAATCTCCCCCCACTTCCTTCTCCAATAATCACCAGGATCTCACCAATGGCAGTGCAGAAACCCGGGGTGGAGCTGAGAGGGATGGGGAGAGAGAAGCTGGTTCTGGTTGTATGGAGGCAGGACTCCTGGTGCCGGGCATGAGTCACATGGGACACGGAGGGGGCACCCCCCGCCCCACGGCGCCGCTGGTACTCAGGCTGTACTCGCTCCTCCGTCTGTAAGCTTACTGAAAACTGGGAGCAAGAAGAGAGGCGAGTGTTGGCAGGCTTCTGGAAGTAGGAACTGTAGGTGAGAGTACCCTAACATCCAGCTACTTCACCAAAGGGACCCTGGGTGACCCCACCATCCACTTCTCCATACCATCCTCCTTCTTCCGCCCTAGCCCTGCCTGCTCAGCACCCCAGAAGCTCTTTCCTTCTCACCTGCAAACAAGCTACAGTTCCTTCTCCTAAGTTTAAGGTCCCCACTACATCCTCGCCGAGTCTGTACACAGATTTGAAGATGCCAAATGTCCCAACTTTCCCTCGGCCATCACTGATATTGTACAGATCTGGGGAGAATAAGATGCCGTAAGCCTGGAGTCCACATATAGAATGTCTAGGACTGGGTCCCAAAGGCCAAAAGGTGGGTTTTCTTTGCAATCTGGGGTGAGACATCAATGGGTGCATCAAACCGTGCTGGTTACGAAACTCTCAGTCAGGCACATTTTGAGGACGGGGAAGGGTGAGCAACTCTGGAACGATTCTCACGGAGGCTACGGCAGGATGTGGCAGCCATGAGACGCTCCCCAGCCAGCTCAGCCAGCCACGAGTCCTTCTTCCCAGCTTCGTCCTCCTCTAAGAATGGACTGGATGGGGCTACAGCCTCATCCTGGGGAAACCGGACATCCTGAAGGCCTAGAGAGATGAACAGAGAGGGAACAGTGAGAGAAGACAGAAAAGAGCATAAAGGTTAGGTTTTAGACCTAAGAGGACTGAAGGTACACAGAGCTGTGGCTCAGATCCAGATCTCAACCCCGTCTCCAGAAGCCACCCTCCCTCCCTCCCCAGTTCCCTAGCAACCTCCAAGGACCAGGCAGCCTCCCTGCAGCTCTTCCTGCAAGCCCTCTTAAACTGCTTCCATGCTGGCAAGGCTCCACTCCAGCCCCTCCCTCAGAAGCCCGCACTTACCAGTCAGCACAAGAACCCTCAAAGGGACCCTGAGTAAAGTGATGGGTGAGTTGACACGCTGGCAGCCAATGGTCAGTTTGTAGACATACTTGACTGACTGGCCCCGAAAGGAGGGTGGTCCCTCTATGGGCAGCACTTCACTGTAGGAGTCTGGTTGGGAAGCAGGAGTCAGGGCATCGAGAGGCAGCCAGAGGCGTCCTCCCTCCAGGAGACTCAGAAGGCAATTCGGGGGTGGGGACAGTCACTCACATGATTTTGATTCTCCAGGGTCTAGCCTCAGGTCACAAAACAGAATTTTTGGTGGGGTGGAAAGGATACACTGACCCCTTTCGCCTACAAAAAGAGAGACTACAATTTAATAACTCCATTGTCCATTCTGGACAAAGCTGGTACACCAACTGGAGGCAGTGAAGAACCACAAATTCCTCTTTTCTTGCTGTGACACTGGAACAAAGTCTTACACTCTCAAAACTACCGTTACTTCCCACCTCCACCCCTGATGTGACAGACACCATGACACACAAGAACAATTTAATTTCACCCTTAGGTGACAGTGACCCCACTCCAACCCCTCCCAAGGCGAATGCTCTAACCTCGGTGGGGTAGAAAGACAGTCTGGCTGTCAGGCTGGACATCTGGTTGACTGGAGTCAGGAGGAGGCAGTAGTACTCGACTCTCACTGGCATGGAACTGGCAGTGTATCTGGGCACTGGCCCAGGCCAGGGCCTCACTGTGGAGAGAGGAAAAGGAAACATCAGCGGACACTTCCTGACCTCACAAATACTGCCTCAAACTCCCTACCATGTTGTGTGATGAAACCAAAGAGTTTGGGTGGCTGTCCTGGGGATCAGGAAACTGAATGCCCTCAAAGAGAAACCATTAAACAAACAATACACAGTGGATACAAAAGGGTATAGGAGCAGGAGAGACAGGCAAGCAAAGAGAGAGTTTTGTCACCCACATCTTCGGTTAAATAATCCTTTCCTACAGTGACAGCGTGAAGAGGACAACCTCAGCTCCGGGTCAGCACCACAGACACCAGGCTTCCTCCCCAAGGGCCACCCCTTTATCAGCAACCCCACCTGGATGCGGAAGTGGCCGTAGGGGGTAAAGGGTTGGTGACGGTCACCACACACTCCAGCGCCTCCCCCGCCAGAAATACAGGACCCCGGCTCAGCTCTGCTACCACTTCAATCATGGCAGCTCTGGAATCAGATCTAGAAGGAAACACGGACCGGAGGTCAGCAGCAGGGCAGGGTGGGTGTATCTTAGGCGGGCAACAAGCGGTGTGACTAGGGCCAGGACCCAGAGGCCAAAAGGGGGGTCGGGCTTTTCTTTACAAGCTTCCGGCGACCTGGGGGATGGGGCGAGGGGCAGCACTTGGTGACGGGAGGAAGGTCGGGATCCGCGGAGCGGGCAGGCGCATGGGAGGGACGCAGGCTACACACTCGGTCTGACGCCCGGGGAAAGCGCAGTACTCAGACCCGGGAGCCCGCTCCCCTCGGCGCCAGGTGAGCTCCCCCAGCCGCAGAGCTCCGGGGCTGGCCTCTACCTTCCCCTCCTGAAGGCTCCACGTCCCTAGCCCAGGAACACGGCCGCCGGCCGCCCGGCCCGGTGCAAACCTCGGCCTCAAA